AAAATTACAGGGGTGGAGGGAGAAAAATGAAAGAAAGGAGAACAGTGTCGGTGTCAACAACAGGTGATTATGAATATTCTTCCTGCCTCTGAGGTTCAAATGTTTCATAGTGAGAATTATGAATTTTCATGAATGTTACATTGATAATAAGGAAATTCCTATGCAGTGTCATTGCCAAGATTAGCAGAGAAGGAGGCTGTGAGTTGTCCATCCTGAGACCAAAGACAAGGAGGAATTTAACAGGTGGCTCAAGGTGGAGGCAGAGAGCAGGCTCACAGCACATTCGTGGATATGATGGACAAAGATGTGATCCACAGATAGGAACGTTGTAGCACGTGTGCATTAAGTGTTCTGTGAGCCAGGCTCTGGACTAAACTCTAGGTGAATGGGTGAATAAGAGTTCTCTTCATGGAAACTGGTAAAACAGGGCACAAAACACTCCCACCTACTGAAGAGGGTCACAGAAGTAAGTATTAGAGCTTTGACAGCCCACAATCCTGATTAGAAATATGGTCTCCCAGGACTGGACTGTCTATCTAAAATGACATCCCCGTGTCATGGTTGATGCTGGTATGCTTATTAGCACGGGCTAGGTTATGCTCTACTAATGAACTCCCCTAGACCCAACAGCTTAGCCCAGCGAAGGCCACACCACTCATCTTACGTTCCCAGCTCAGGCTGTCTGGGAGGTTCTGCTCATTGCGTCACAGATTCAGGCGGATGAAGGTCCCACCCTGTCTGCAAGGCAGAAAGGGAAGTAAAGACTTACCTGGTGGCTCTTAAAGGGTTCTGTACCGATGAGACATAAATTGCTTTGATCTCAATTTAGACACCAGAGCAAGCCACATGGTATGTATGTATGTCCTACTGCCAGGGAGGAGGAGAAATGTAACCTAACCATGTGCCCAGAAGATAGTGGATATCCGAGAACAGCCCTAAAGGAGCAGACAGTGTGGCTACCATGGGACTGTAGGTGTCCCAGAAGACAAGACCACAGGGACTCCTCTTCACTCCTCTGATAGGGAGAAATATCCCCCCACCCCACCCAGTGGCCCGGACCGAGTCCTTGAGCCCTCTGGGGAGGTCAGGCTGCATCAGGGTGGGATTGCAGAAGGTTCAGGGACAAATACTTCAGAAAACCACCAAGGTCTTGTGTGCGCCTGGAAAAGGCACACTGAGGGCAGCGTTGGCCATAATCGGCTTCCTGAATTTTCATGGCCTTTGGGGTGAGTCGTCCTAGGCCCATAAACTCAGAACATCAGAGTCGGGCGGGTCCCCAGGAGCCTGGCTGCTCCAGTGTGGTCCCAGGATCGCGGCATCAGCACACCGTCCCCTGGGAGCTCATGAGACACATCCAGTCTCAGGCCCCACCCCAACTACTGAATTAGAATCTGCATTTTACAAGATCCTCAAGAGATGTGTGGGCACATTGCAATTTGAAGAGCACTTCCCTAGAACGCACTGAGGCCAGCATTTTCATTTCACAAATGAGGAGCTGACACCCAGAGGAGAGGAGGCCGGCCCAAAGTCACACAGCTGGTTCCAATCCTCGCTCGACCACTTGCCAGTGGCTTTGAGTAAGTCACTTAAATATTCACTGATTCTCAGTTCCCTCTTTGGTGTTACAGTGTGCCAAAACCACCTCCTAGAGCTTACGTGGGCTTCAAATAAGATAGCAATTAGAGTATGTGCTTAATAAACATTAGCTAGTACTATGGCCCTAGCTTACTGTACTAAGGCCTCCCCTCCCCTCCCTCCCAGTTTCTTTCAGGGTCAGGTATACCACAGTACAAGGATAAGACCTGACCCAGCTGCCTACGTGCACATCCTGCTCTGCCACTGGACCTCAAGCTAGTTTCTGAATTATTCTTTGGTTCCTGTTTTACTTTGATTAAACCTGCCCCATAGGATTAGTGTGAGGATCAAATGAACTAAACTATTTCAGGCCTTTGAACAGTGTGGCAGAGTAAACCCATGAGATGATGGACTAATGTTTCCAAAATTTCCAAATGAAGGAGGCAAGGGTGGGGGACTAGTGGCCCAGGCAGGTCTTTCCCAGGGGAAGCTGCTTCTGCTTTGCCGGGTCTAGGACCTACTCCCTGCTTTCTTTTCTTTCCTTTAATGCTGGGGATGGAACCCAGGACCTCATGCCTATAAGACAAGTGCTATACCCCTGAGCTACATCCACAGCACCCCAAGTCTCCTCTTTCTTCCTCAGCTGATGAGGAACCACTGAAAGGCCAGGGAATGTTGGTGCGGAAGAGGGGCAGACTCAAGCAAGAGGGCAGCTGTCTGCCAGTCTCTGAAGAACCATCACAAAGGAAAGGAATTGCACCTATTCAGGATGACTCTAAGGGACAGAAACAGGAATGTGTTAATTAGGCTTTCAATGCTGTTACCAAAATACCTGAAGAGAACAAGTTAGAGGACAAAAAGTTTACTTTGATTCAGAGTTTCAGAGGTTCAGTCTATGATTGGCCAACTCCATTGCTCTGTGCCCAAGAGAAAGAAAGGGGAAGGGGTCAGAGGGAAGATGAGCCCTTCCGGGGCACAACCCACCGACCCACCTACTCAAGCCAGGTCCCACCTTCCTACAATTACAGTTAGTCCATTCAAACTAGGGTGGACTTATTAGGTTATAGTTCTCATAATCTCATTATTTCATCTCTGAACATTCTTGCATTAAGACGGAAGCTTTGGGGGAATGCCTCATTGTCACACCATAACAAGGAAGTTCCAGGAAGTCTTCTCAAATCATTGAAAAGTGTTCAGAGGCACCTCCAGTGGGGCACTAAGATGAGCAGCTCAGGGTTGCCCTAGGAGGCCCCAGTTATAGGGTGAAGGTCTCCCAGGCTGTGGAGCAGGGCTAGTCCATATATCCCCAGGCCTGACTGGTCTTGAGTATCAGAATCACCTTAGGAGCTTTTCAAATACAGATTCCCAGTCATCACTCAGGCCAACCGGATCAGAATCTCTAGGTGTAGGGCTGAGAATCCATTTTAAAAGCCTCTCCCTCAATGATCCTCATAATAAGGGGGTGGGTTTGAAGGCTGGGCCAGGGGATGAGTGGGAGGGAGCCAGAACCATACAGCATTGATCTGGAAAGTTCCTCCCTGATCAGCTGACCACCGCCACCTTCACTGAAAGCAAATCTAGGGACCTGGCCTTCCTGGGTTTCTGCCCCTCCCAAAAAGTTGCTAGGCGCTAGATTCGGGGATCACCCATACATCTAACAACAGATCTATCCCCACCCTTCCTTCAACTCTGTCTTTACCCTGCAGTCTGGCTCCGTCTGAGATCCTCCTCAGCCTCTCGGTGACCCAAAGAGATTGCTAAGGGTCTTGGAGGAAGTGGCTGGCTGAGCCTGCCTGGTATCAGGAGGAGCCACTCTTTCTCAACGCACCCTAAAAGCCCAGGGCCACTTCTGTGCTGGACTCCCACCATGCATTCACCTGGGGGCGCCCCGGACCGACTCTGCTCAAAGCGCAGAAAGGGGAAAGGCAATACCTGAATGGACATAAAGATCCTTGCTCACCCTCTTCCTTGATCAATCCCACGGGTTGGGGCACCACCCGGCGCTTTTAGCGCACAAATCCGCCCAGGGAGAAGCTAGCATGGGGGTTACAGGCGTAAGCTGTGTCGCAGGAGCAAGGGTTCTAGGGACACGCGGAGAGAGGAAGAGGGTATGGCGGCGCAGAAGGGGCGCGCCTGCCTTTTGCCCTGACCTCACAGCACCACCTTGTGTCTCCTAGCACGGTGCCTGCGATTCCAGGCCCTCTCCGCGCGGGCGCACCCGTCTCCGGGCGCCTCCCGCCCAGTCCTGTGGGCGTTTCCCCGCCTGTCTCGCAGCCCCCTGCTTTTATTTCCCAAGAAGTGTGTGCCGACCGCGGCTCCTTCTTTGTCACGGCTTTCCCAGGACGACTTGTGATCCCGCAGCGGGAAGATCCCAGTAGCAGGGCCGGGAGCTCGGTGCGGTGCTGGGGTGCAGGGAGGAGCGCCCGCGCGGCCGGCAGAGGGCAGCCTGTCTCCAGCTTTGGGCCCCAAAGGCTCCCTCCTAGCCGTTTCGTGGGTCGCTCCCCAAACAGGAGGACTTACTTGTATCTGTGGAACCATCCATTCTCCTCCCTACATAAACCTCCCCAAGCATTTCCCCGGAAGACATACCCTGTGCTGGATAGAGGGGCTGCAAAGGTGAGAGAGACCTTGACCCTACCTGGGAAGCTAACTGTCAGTGCCCACGCTGACCAGCCATCTCCTCTGATCTCTGGCACTTTCACCTGGAGACTTGCCTTTCCCACTGCTGCACCATCGATGGATCCTATACAAATATAGGTCCTCTTCTGGGTGCTGAGGGTTGTCAAGGCCACTGCTGGATGGGTCATCTGAATACTAAGCAGAGGAGGCCTTGTTAAAGCATCTGCTTTTGGTTTTGAATATTCAGTGTGGACACATTTCCCAAAAGGGCTAAAATAAAAAATCCAGCAGAAAAGCATCACATAGTTATCTGTAAAACAGGAGAACATTACAACCCTCCAGAGAAGCCTATTTCCAAAGAGTCTGGCCTTTCATGGGAAGTGGCTGTGGGGACCTGAACAATACAAGTTTACAGAATTAAACTTTCGAGCTTTGACACGAAGTTACCTCTGGCTGAGTTCCCTTTCACATTGGAGTTTACCAACTGGGGAGATGTTCTGAGCACACTTTGAGGACCTAGCTGGGGCCCTCTAATGCCCAACTTCATGCAGTCCCTATACCCAGATGTGGCAGTGGAGGCCAAATGGCACAAGGCAGTGACACCCTGTTGATTGTTACTCCAGGTAGTATGGTTCTGTTAGAACTAATAGTGAAAAAGCAAGTTTTTCTTAGAAAAAGCAGGAAGGAATGGTCTTTGATTCATTCCCACCAGGCCTCCTGCTAATTGTGATGGCTCCAATACAGTTCCCTTCCAGTTCCCAGAGTGTGGTGCACAGACACACAGACACAGGATTGGGACACCAGAGTTTTGTTCTAAACAGCTTTATTAACCAGATAAGAAATCAGCTTGAATACAGCCTGTGCTGCAGACAGTGTGGTCCTTTCAGTCACTGGGAGCAGCAAAGTCTGGTCCCTCCCCCTTCTTTCTGCTGTTCCTGACCTGGGGTTCTGGAAGGGTTGGGTGATGTGGCCAGAGAAGAATCCCTGGAGAAGGGTGGTGTGGAAGGGGCAGGTCTTGGGTTGGGGGAGGCCCTGAGGACTGGAAACAGAAGGACAGGGTGTTGGATACAGGCTGAGGATGTGTCTGCCTCCCTTCAATCAGATGAACAACCAGGCCTGGTGACAGCAGAGGGCTAGCCTGCGCTGTGCTGGGATGGGGAGGAGCCGCCCACGGCACCCTTAGGATCCACGAATAGGGCCAGATCTAGCTGCCCTGATATTTGGACCACTGGCTCCTGCGAATGTGTGTTGGAAGTATTTCTCTAGGAACCCCCCGCCCCGCATGGAACAGGGAACTAGAAGCTTAAGGTGTTCTGACTTTGGGGTCCTTGGATCTGGGTTGTTACCCTCCAATCCCAGGTGGGAGGACTCCAGTTCCACAGAGACTCACAGGCAAGAGGCCTAGAGAACTGAGTGGTTCCTTTTTGTGGCCATGACCCTGTCTGCATGCCTCTTTGCCTCCTCATAGTGACTCCCTGAGCTGGGACTCCTTAGGCTTATTCTGAGAAACACCAAGAATCCCACCCTCTTTCCCTAAGAGAATCTCTGAGTCAAATAAACCACAGCCTTCCCCCTCTCCATCTTGGTCGTGTTTCCCTCTCCCTCCTGGCCTGTTGCTGCTGCTTAGGGCACCACCACGTGGCCCAGGTGTCTTGGCCAATGAAGATGGAGGCTCAGCCTAAGAGGTTAAGACCAGGTCTGTGGAGAGAGGTGTAGGGAGACAGGATCTGGTCCCACACAGACTATAAAGACAGACATCTCCTACTGGTGATAGTGTGAGATGCCAGGCAGGGGTAGCTCCTTAGTGGGGCGGGAGCTCAGGCAGACCCCCAACCAAAGGGAGCCAGAGGCCCAAGTTCAAGTCATTAGTGATGTGCGGCTAGGCTGGGTGAGAAAGAATCCTGGAGGTCCCCAAGGCTGCTGGGAAGGGGATGGCGATGAGAAGCTCAGGAGTGGGCAGGGTGTGACAGGCAGTGGTGACCTCACTCAGAGTGGACCAAGGCCCCAGCTCCTTGTCCAAAGCCAAAGCCCTTGGGCCCGAAGTTTTTAGCATAGCATCCTGCAGAGAAAGAAGAAGGATGAGAACATGCTCCTTACCCCAAGCAGACCCTCCTGCCACCCCTGGGGACTGACCTCCGCAAAGAGAAAGTCCATCAATGCCCTTCACCTTTACTGTACCTCCAATCTCAACATGAGGAGGTTCTAGACACCACTCTGCACCCATTTCCTTTACCGTTTAAAGGAGAAAAGGAGCATTATCTGCTTAGAGCCCTGGGCAGGGAGTTAGGTTCCCAGGCTGTAGGCCTGTCCTTGCCCTAATATTCCACCTGACTCTGGCTTTCTCTACTGTCTCCCTCGGGTCGTTTCCCCCTCTGATGCTCTGACTTTTGGATTTCAAGGCCAGGAGTTGGTTCACACTCAGCAATAGCATAACTGCAGGGTCTCCCCACCCCTCAGGCCTCCCGCTACTCAACTGGAAATGAAACTACCCACCTTTGCAGTATATCTCACCATCCTTGTCAGCCAGAGTGGTTGACTCCAGCCCTTTGCCACACTTGGCACATCGGAAGCAGGACTTATGCCAAGACTAGGTAAAGAAGAAAATTGTTAATGCTGCCACCAGTGACTTGGCTGCCCTAGCCCCAGCCCATCCCCTTCACACAAGATGGTGGAAGGCACCTTCCTGTCGCCTGCTAGGCTAGGGCTGCTGTCAGACAGCAGGTGGGAGCTTTCCAACACACCACCTCATGGCGCCTTCAATAGTGTGTTGCAATAAAGTATCACAATGATTCTGTGGTTAGTGGCACCATCTATACCACAAAAGGGGAGTGAAGGGGTGAAATTATCAGCCGGGTAGCTGCTGCCCCCAGAGGTGGGGTCAGACAACCTTTGTCCACATCCATTCCGCCTGCAGATCAGTGGTGTGAGCAAAGGCTCCAGATGCCTCTTGGAACAGCCACTAGTTGAACAGCCAGCCTCCCTAATGTCCTCCTCTGGAGACCTCCCTGCCTATCACAGAATGGATGTGAGGACTTGATATTTAAACATCCAGTGTCTAGCCATAGAGCAGGCATTGCCCTGCCTCAAAAATTCTAGAACTCATTGCCTCATTTGTCCAAAGACAATTTTTCCACCTGGAAAATGGCATGGCCTCTCCCTCATCAGACAGCTGTCAGCACTTAATAACTTCATCAGTGTCCAGAGCCTGACAGAGGCTGGAACACAGCAGATCCCAGGCCAGGGCTGTCTGTATTACTTTGAAAGGAGAATGGGTCTGTGAAATGCATTCCACGGAGCAGGAACAAGCCAGAGGAATGCAGTTGCTCCAGGGGCCCCAGAAGGCCCTTTGTGGTTCTGAGAGGTGTCCTAAGGTAGTACAGGGCAAACAACCTCCCAGGGAAGGGGCAGGGCCTCCGTATGTGCACAGCAACCACCCCTGCCCCACACAGCTAGACTCCTGGGCGGCAGCCGGCTCCCATTAGCAACAGCTGAGCAGCCTCAGAGGCTGATGTGTGGACAGCTCTGCTAAACCCAGGAAAAGCAAGGGACTGGCGGCAGCCAGACAGGACAGAACAATGCCTTTTAAGGGCAGAGAGACTTCCGCAGCACAGCCACTCGGTGCCCAGACTGGAGGGTGAAAAAGGAAGATGTCCTCTCAGACTTTCTGGCTGCTGAACCTCACTCACTCCTACCTCCTGGGATTGCAGTGGGGTTCAAGGAGCTGGAGTGGGGGGACATAGATCTCCGTCCTCCCCTCGGGGCCCTCTGCAACCTCAACAGTCTCCAGCCTTGGTTTTCTCCTCTGTAAGGCAGAAGCCCTGCCTCAGCTTCCCAGCTGGACGAGACTGGATGGCACCTAGCCTCTGTCACCCTCCCATGTTCCAACCACCCCCCAAAACTAAGCTCAATCTATTTGTTCATTCATACCACACCTGAAAGTACTCCTGCTCCTTGATGTTTCTTTCCTCACCCAGGCAAAGAGGGGGTTTATCCCTGCCTGTTCCTCTTGAATGCAAAATTCTTTTATCCTACGGCTTAGTACAACTTTAACTTTCCTTAGAATCTAAGTGATAGGAATATTAATTCATAGTGTTTTTTTTTTCTTTTTGTACAGGGATTGAACCCAGAGGCACTTAACCACTGAGCCACATCTCCAGCTCTTTTTATGTTTTATAGAGATAGGGTCTCACTGAGTTGCTTAAGGCCGTGCTGAGTTGCTGAGGCTAGGAACTTGCAATTCTGCCTCAGCCTCCCAAGCTGCTGGGACTACAGGCATGAGCCACTGTGTCTGTGCTTGGCTCTTAGGTACTTTGTTTGGGGGAGGTGGGGGTACCAGGGATTGAACTCAGGGGCACTGGACCACTGAGCCACATTCTCAGCCCTACTTAGAGACAGGGTCTCACTGAGTTGCTTATCGCCCCACTGTTGCTGAGGCTGGCTTCAAACTTGCAATCCTCCTGCCTCAGCCTCCCAAGCTGCTGGGATTACAGGCATGCACCACTATGCCCAGTGTCTTAAGGACTTTTTGATAAGTTTCCATTCTCATAGTGGGACAAAACAAGAAAAATCGAACTTGAAAGTAAAAGTAAAGTCTCCTGTTTTCATATCTTTTAATCAATGCAGGAATCTTCATTTTGACTTCATAACAATCGGAAAACGTAAATAATAATAATAATAACAATAATAGCTGACCTGTATTGAGCAACATTCCAGGCACTATGCTGTACCCTTTTCTTTTAAAGATAGGAATAATGATTTCCATCTTCAACGGTAATTGTGAGAGTTGAGAGCCTGCTACAGTCTAGACTTGGCATAAGTGTTAGTTCCTCAGTCCCTTCCTCTTGGCCCCCTTACTCAAAGTCAAAAGGCCGTGAAACCAATACCAAACCCAGAAGAGCTGGAGATGGGCTCTAGGCCCAGCTGGTCCATCAGATGCTGTGTGATCTTGGCCAAGTCACTCCTCCCAAGCTTCATGTGAGGATCCAGAAATCCACTCTGACCACACAGTTTAGAGATTCCTTGTCTGTGGTTTTCCGACTATTAGTCTAGGCTGCCTATCCCCAGGGCATGAATTCCCCTTGCCCACTACACCCTGAGTGAGGGATAAGATCAGCAAAGTTTGAACAGTAGGCCCCTAAGGGGATTCCTACTGTGCACTGTGGCTGGGGGGCTATGGTTAGAATCTCATGGAGGAATGGCAGGCAATTACAAACAGCTTCCCAGGAGATTCTGATAGGATCTGAACCTTGAAAAATCTCCACCCTGGGGGTATATGGGTGGGTTTCTGGGAGTACGTACCCATGAAATAGAACATATATTTTTGGATGGCTCTTTTGTATTTTTTCCTTTCTTTTTTTTAACTTAGAGACAGGATCTCAATGAGTTTCTTAGGGCCTCACTAAGTTGCTGAGGCTGGCTTTGAACTTGTGACCCTCCTGCCTCAGCCTCCCAAGCCTGGGATTTATAAGCATGAGCCACAGCGCCCAACTTTGGCCAAGATCACACAGTATGTTGACGGACCAGCTGGGCCTACAGCCCATCTCCAGCTCTTCGGGGTTTGGTCTTTAGGTGGTTTCTGACACTTTGGGAATCACAAATCCTTTTGAAAATCTGATGACAGTTATGGATCTTCTTCCCAGAGACACATTCCCACAAATCTTTGCATGTACTTTTAGGGGGCTTGCAGGACCTCTGAAATTCAGCCATGTACTCCTAGATACTGTGGTCCTCAACTCCAGAGTACAGATTGATCTCTGCACCTCCCTATAAATTATTAATAGACACCCACCAATGCTGGGAATGTTGCTGTGCGTGGATGATGTGAGCTCCTTGGAGTCTGGGATAAGCAACCCACAGGGATGAAGGTTATTCCTTCCCTAGAAGGGAAGGGGTTTAAAGGCCAGGGTCAGGCTGCCCTGAGCAGAGCTAGGGTCACCACTTGCAAAGTTCTAGGGTCCTTATTTCAGGAAGGTTGTCCCTTGCCCCTCTCAAGGTGCCCAGCAGTCGCCTTACCTTCCCGGCACCAATCACCTTCTCTGCCGCGTAGACTGCCTGGCTGCATCGGGGACAGCGCTCAGAGCCTCCAATCTTCTGGGCAAACTTGGAGGCATTAGGGTTGGTGGTAGGTCTGTGGCCAGGAGCTCTGCATGGAGAAGGACAAGAAGGGATATGACACAGTGACAAATACAAGCGGGGCTGGCCCTGCAGGGCAGGACTCACCCTCCCCTCATGACAGGGCAGGAGCAGCTCTCCCAGCAGAAGTTACAAGAGCTAGGGCCACCGGGGCCTCTAGTGTCATCTCCCATGATACCTAGGGACAAACCAAGGCTAAGCACAATGTTATTTTTATGGAGACATCAAACTTGCCTTGGTCACTCAGTTAAAACCCTGGAATCACTTCACACCTCATTTGCTAAGAGTCACCCTCTTCTGCCCCTCATTTCTGCAGTTGGTCTATCATCAGATACTTTCCAGAGGAAATCTGCTGAAAAGTCATTCCTGTTGGGTCAGTGACCTTGGCTGAAATGCAGTAACTCATCCATCATTTCCACCCATCCCCTTGGAGCCGAGGAACTAGCCAGGCCTGCTGCCAACAGCCATGTTCGCCAGCGGCTTGGAGGCCAGGGAGTGTTTTAGGGTGAAGGTAGGAACCCCATGACACTCTGTGGCATTTCCAAGGCAAGGACATGATTTCTCCTCAGCAGGAGAGATGGCTGGGCCAAGTGAGGCTGGTTGGCTGTGTGCTGCTCAAATCCTTGGTCTGGCTCAGACACTTGCAGGAGACCCCCGGGGCTTTCTCATCTATATAATGAGGAAATTGGACTAAGGAATTCTTGGGGTCCTTCCCAGCTCTGATGCTTATAAAAATATAGCATGCAGGGAGGACCTGGGCCTACTGCATTCCTAGCTGGGTTCCCAGCAGCTCCAGTAGCCTGCTCTATGACTCCCTTTGAAATAAATGGCTCTCTGAGCCTTCCACTGTTTAACCAGCTGTGGTTGAAAACATGCCCAATACCAGGGCAGGGAGAGAAATTCGAGACAAAGTGGGAGAAGATCTTGTACTCACTCCTCATGCTTGATGCCCAGGGACTCCCCCTTGTCAGTGCTCAGCGTGCCTGCGCCCTGCCCATAGCCGTAGCCTTTTGGCCCATACTTCTTGCCATAGCAGGACTTGCAGTAGATCTCCTCCCCATGCACGGCCACAGTGGTGCTGTCCAGATTCTTCTTGCAGACCACTGTGAGGGGAGCATAGGAATGGTGAGTCACAGCTGGAGTGAGCAGCTTGCTCCCTGCAGCCCTCTGCAGTTCAAGTTTTCTGGACACTTTGGGGGGGGGGTTTGTTATTTTTTGATACTTGGATTGAACCCAGAGGTGCCTTGCCACTGAGCTTCATTCCCAGTCTTTCTTTTTTTTTTGTACAGGGATTGAATCCAGGGGTATTTAACCACTGAGCCACATCCCCAATACCCCTCTTTTTTAAATTTTTTTTTTTAGTTGTGGGTGGACACAATACCTTTATTTTATTATTTTTATGTGGTGCTGAGGATCGAACCCAGGGCCTCACACATGCTAGGCGAGTGCTCTACCACTGAGCCCCAACCCCAGCCCCCAGCCCTTTTTTAATATTTTTATTTTGAGACAGGGTCTCCGTGAGTTGCTGAGGCTGGCTTTGAACTCGTGATCCTCCTGCCTCAGTCTCTGGAGTAGCTGGGATTACTGGCATGTGCCACTGTATCTGGTGGCAGTTTGCATACAAATTATCCTGACCTTTCAGGAATGGTGTGGGTGCCATGGGGTGGCCAATAACTGGAGGACAGAGGGATGGGATCTGCAAGTATGACTCTAGGTGGCCATGTCTGACACCTCCAGGAATCTGTGGGTGTCTCCCTTGGTCCTCTGTACCCTTGAACCTCCCCAGGCTGTGATGCATCCCATAGTTCAGAGGCAACAGCCTATGCTGACTCCAGACCACACGATGCCAAGGGAAGTTCTTCACTCTGCCCTTAACAGAGACCACGTGGCCCAACAGGAGAGAAGAATAAAGAAAGGAAGGAGGAAGGGCAGGGTTTTCCTGCCTGCAACCTTGGAATTCCAAGGAGACAGTCTGCCCATGCTGGTGGGAGTGAGAGGTGTGGGGGTAGAACTGGGGAGAAGGGTGCAGGTGAAGGGATATGCCCTGAAGAAAAGCCCAACGTGGTGGGCTTTGAAATGCCATGTAGGCCATGCTAATCACAGTAGCACTGAAGTTTCCAGTCTCAGAAATAACAGGGAGATGTGAGGCTGGGCACTGGGAAGACTGTCCTGAGTCCTGCGGTGAGAGAGATTGGAATGGGGCCACCTGGACGGGCTTCCTACATCCTTCAGTCCCGTGGATCTCACAGGTGAGTTGTGCAAGCTATCAAGCATAAAAAGGTAGAGAGCCTGGAGTCGAATCCCAGCCCTCTCCCTTTCCAGTTGTGTGGCTTGGGCTCCTACCTTGGCTTTTCTAGCCTCAGTTAGAACTGCACATAACTTCTGCCCCAACAGGTAATTGTGAGAATCAAATGAGAACTTATATGTGACACACTTAGCACAATACCCTGCACACAATAGGTGCATAATATAAGTTGGCTACTCTGATGAGCATTACATAAAGTTGGCTCCATAGGGAGACAGAGAGGGGGAGGAGCAGGTCTGGGCCTCAAGAGATCATATGCTTCTAACTTCTAGCTACTTCCCTCACGAGGCTCAACTTCACCCTATTTCTTTAGGTCTCGTCCTGGAAGCCTAATTTGGTTTTACAGTAGTTCTTAAATTTTGGAGTTCAGTGTGCCCAAATGAACTGCAACCTCAAACACCCCCTCTGGAGCTAGAAGTCACCACTGACAAGCCACGCCTCTCACCTCCCTCTGAGAAGGCTCCCAGCAACTGGCTCTCTCTTGCCTTTAAAGGGTCCAGAGCCCTCCACCAGCTCCCCCCACCTCTCTCTCTCTCAGCTCCAGATTGGAGACTTCAGACTAAATAAGGACCCTCTTGTCCTGCCCTCCAGATCTCCACCTCATTCCAGCACTCTGGGCCACCCAAATATGGAACCTCCCCACCACCTCCCCTGGGGCTTGGCTCCTGAGGAGGGCCAGGGAACAACAGGCCAAAGGCTCCAACATTCCCTTCTAGGGCGGGAAGTCAGGAATTGGCCTGGAATTGTTTCCTGTAAGACCTAAATTGAACTGGGAATTCCAAGACCAGAGAGGGAAGGCACAAAGCAGAGATAAGACTGGTTGTGTGTGTGTGTGTGGGGGGGGGTTGTGGCTCAGTGGTAGAGCACTTGCCTAACATGTGTAGGGCACTAGGTTCGATCCTCAGAGCTTCGTAAAAGTAAATAAACAAAATAAAGGTGTTGTGTCCATCTACATCAGAAAGAAAGAAGGAAGGAAGGAAGGAAGGAAGGAAGGAAGGAAGGAAGGAAGGAAGGAAGGAAGGAGAGAACTCCTCCCTGCAGGCCACCCTCCCCACCCCAGGCAACCCTCTGCCCCTCCCCTCCATCCAGATGATGTAGTCAGGGTCTCAGCTCCTTTGTAAGGTCCACCAAAGAGTCAGTCAAGGGGAATTTCAAATATATTCCTTATTCAAGGAAGACCTGACTAAACTTCCACCAAATCATGTTAAGCAAAAAACCAAAACAAAACCTGGACGTGTTGGCTGAAAAAGAGAAACAATGCCCTTTTCATTCCTAAACACATCTTCGTGGAGAACCCACAGGTGCCAGGTGTTGCTCTAGGCCCAGGAAGCGCACAGGCCAGAGACCCCAGAGGAACACATGCCAGTTCCTAGGGCTGCTAGTTGCATAACTCGCGTTCCCCAGCTGCCCTGCTCCCCAGCCAGGCTTCCCGCAACTGTTTCTAATCCCCAACACCCCCTCACACCCTGCCTCAGGCCCTGCTCCTTCCTTCCTATGCCACCCCCTGAATTCCTGACTTCCCCCCACGCCTGACCAACAGCTACTCCTCCACAGGCAGGACCGCAGGCAGGAGCTTTCAGCCACAGATGGTCCCTCTTAGTCAATGATTAAGCAACATTTGAGAGCAAAGAGAAGGGTCTTTGGGACCTCAGCAGCTTGAGCCCTCTTCTCAGCCAGTGCCAAGCCCTCTCTTATTCCCTCTGGGAAAGAAAAAAAGAAAAGAAAGAAAAAAAAATAGCTTGAAAAATGGCTAAATGATGAACTGCTGATAACAAAATGCTGCTGCATGTGGCCTCCTCCTCCACAGGCTGGAAGCCAGCAGGGCTCCACTGAAGCCTGTCGCCTCCCCATTCATCAGTGAGCCCTGGGGCTGTCACTCCAGGTCCACCAGGGAGAGTGTGGCCCTGCACTGGCCCGCCCAGCAACAGATCTGGATTACATCCAATGAACAGGTAGGTGGCCCTTGGCCTGCCTAGTTCCTACTTTGGAGCCCAAATTCCCTGAGAACAAAGGAAACTCAGATCTCTCAACTGATCTCATGTGAGGCAGGATGGACAGGACCCCACTTCCTGGGCCTATCAGATGGGCTGGGACTCCAACTCCCGGCGGCTCTCCTTTTATCACACCATTTTGCTATGGACCCCTGAGCAGTGGGTACGTGTGCATACACACACACACACACATGCATTTGCCTATTGTTTATTGAACCTCACAATTGCTTGAAGTGCTTCATTCATTCTATAAGCTCCTTTTATTTCAACTCTCTCAATGACCCCAAGAGGTAGGTACGAATGAGAACACTCAGCCAGAGAGAAAGTGGGTAACTTGTCCATCATCACATGGATAATAGAAACTGAATTCTGATTCTATCCCTGATGAAACCTGGGGCTTAACCAGGACACTCCACGGTCTCCCACTCAGCTGGTCCTCAAGGAAACAGACTTTACTGTAGTTGCCTCTTCGTCCCGTCCTCTACACCCCTTTGCCATGCCAGGGATTGAGCCCAGGGGTGCTCTACCACTGAGCTGCATTCCCAGCCCTTTATGTTTTATATTTTGAGACAAGGTCTGGCTAAGTTGTACAGACTGGCCTCAAATTTGTGATCCTCCTTCCTCAGCCTCCCAAGTCACTGGTATGACAGGTGTGTGCATGTGGTGTAATAGCTGCCTCTTCTAATGCAGATTTCTGCTCTGATCATAGGAATCAAACATTTAGGAATCCAAGAAGAGGTGTCTCCAAGTCACCACTTCCTGGACACATCACCTGGCCCAGGACCAGCCAGTAGAGCCTCCCAGAGCCAAGGCCCCTGGGTCAGCCTGATGTCTCCTGGTGTCTTGGGCCTGGCTTCCTACTCCTGCAGTCCCATGACTGCAGCAACCGTCACTCTGGATTTTTCAGAATGGATGACAGTGATGGCGCACCCCTTCTTCCTCCTCTCCTCGCAGGCCGAGTAGAGTGGGGAGTGGGAGAGGCAGACGTGCTGACCTGGAAGAGTGCCCTGGAGAGCCCAGCTCCTCCTCCACACTGACCTTCACCGTGAGGTTGAGGCCTCCGTGGCTTTTCACCCCGGGATAATTTGGGTCTGAAGGCTAGTGAGACTTTGGGCTAAAAGGTCTCCCTCTGAAATGACAGGACCGTGGTGGGGAGAAAGAGAGGAGGAAGCCGGGTGGAAAGTTTTCCTCCCCCAGTCTTTCCAGCTTGGCCGTCTGCCCCGCACACCCGCCACCCGCCACCCTCGAGCACTGGGCTGGTCACCCCCTCAGAAAGCAACTTCTGAAGGGAACAAAGAGGCCCTTAAGGGCGTCCCTCCCCAGCTGCGCTTCAGCCAAATGTCAAGTTATTTACATCCCGTGGGACCTGATCCCTGGGGTGCAGACAGGCCAGCCTGCGGGTCCCGGCCCGGTACTCACTGCACAGGAAGCAGGACTTGTGGAAGCTGTTGCCCTCGCACTGGACCTCCTCTGCAAAGTAGACCGTCTTCTGGCACACCCCGCACTTCTTGCCTCCTCCCCAGTTCGGCATTCTGAAAAGGGACACCAAAATGGGAATCAGGTTCCCAGAGAGCCGGAGACACAGACTAACCGTGACCAAGAAGCAACAGGCAGAGACGGAGGAGCAAAGGCCGAGGCAGGACTCCCGTGGAGGCCACCTGTCCCCGTGGGTCATCCAGCATCCTGGTTCCCCCAGCACCCTCCAGCTGCCTCTTAGGCTGCTGTTTCTGGCCCTGAGTAGGGCACACTGAAGGAGGCTGCAGGAGCAATGTGAACGAGGTGGCTGCCATTGTACATGGCCTCATGGGAACCAAAAGAGCAGGCCACGAAAGAGCCCAGAGTTCCTAAACCCAAATCCAATCAGGCAAAGTTCACAGAGGGGCAAAACTCATATTGTTGACAGAGGAAGGTATGGGGAGAAATGTATTACAGGAAAGCAAAGGATGGTCACCAACTACTGTCTTAGATGAGTTATGCCTAAAACAGGGAGCGGGACACTGTGGGTCAAGGGCTATCAGACAGGCTGTGGGGTGTTGGCAAAGTTCTTTCCCTCCCACTTTGGTACCAGGGATTTAACCAGGGCACTTAACCACTGAGCCACAGACAGCACCCCCTTTTTGAAAAAATTTTATTTAGATACAAGGTCTCACTAAGTTGCTCAGGGCCTCACTAAATTGCTGAGGCTGGCTTTGAATTCATCATCCTCCTGCCTCAGCCTCCCCAGCTGCTGGGATTACAGACATGTGCCACCGCACTAGGCCAAAGTTCTTTTTCTTAACTTGGGGGGAATGTCACATGAGGGCTCCCTTTGTCATTACTCTTTGAACTGTATGTGTAGGTTTTGAGACATTCTTTTATATGTAAGATATAGCTCACCAGGAGCCACAGGAGACAGGCAAATAGAGACACTGTTCTTAGGCTTTAGAACCAGGTAATGGGCTTTTGCAAAACGAAATTTAGCAGCACTGCCCCAAACCTGATGAATCATAATCTCTGAGAATTAGGGATATAAATTTCTAGTAAGTACCCTAGGTGAGACTAAATAGGTGGCCTGGACCAAACTTGAGATACCCTAGGTTTTGGTTCGGAGCTGGGGTCCTGATGCCAGATAGTTTTGTCCAATCTGGATCCTGCCACTCACTGGCTGTGTGACCCTGGGTGAAGTAGTTGCTCTTCCAAACCTTGATTTCCATACCTGGCATAGTGGTATTCAACAGATAGTTGAGGAAGGAGTGAAGGATGCCCAGGGACTGAGAGCCACAGCTGGGGCCCTAGACTCTGTACAAGTGTACCTCTGCTGCAGAGCCTGGGACCTGGGGGAACGTTCTGGAAAGGTGCACAGGCTGGGAGCTGGGCTTAAGGTGGAGAAGTGGTTTGGGTGAGGCCAGCTGAATGTTACCCGGAGGACAGGGTCTTCAGCAAGGTTTGGTTGGAGCAGAGGAGAGAGAGAGATTTTCACTCCCAGATCCTCAAAGTTGGGGTTCCCTCTAGTCCCTCCCTCCCCAGTCTCTGGCATTGCCATCTACCTGCTGGCACCTCATTGCAAGGACTCCCATATACCTATGACCCTGGTCTCTCTGCTAAGTCCAGGCTCACACACCAGCTTCAGGTGGGCATCTCCACCTGGACAGTACACAGGGACACAGATTTGCACTTGAGCCACCTGATCTCTCTACCTTTTTCTCAACCTCATTCTTCTCCGGACTCCTCCATTTTTGCTTGTGGTACCAGGACCATCCTCCCCTCCACTAAGGATCTCATCTCAGACCCGGAAGAAAATGGGCTCTGCACCCTTCCCCAGCCGCAGCTCACTCTGCTCCCTTTGATGCACTCCTAAGGCCACAAGTCAGGTCCCTTGGGTTCTTCCACCTCTTGGTGCCTGTCCTCTCTGTCCTTCCCACTACCCTCTGCAAGCCTGATGTCCTCTCACCTTCCCCAGGAGGTCATAGCAGCCCCCTGAAGAGGACCTCTGTCTGCTACATTCTCCCTTTTCTTGGTAACTCTCCCTGTTTCCAGCCATGGCACGTGGCCTGGACTCACCTCATCCACCGGGGTTATCAGCTCTAGGATGGGCCAGCCAGGGAGACACAGGGGTTTCTGGCTCTGTCTTCTGGGAGGGTTTCCAGGGAGTAAGTTCCCCTAACCCCCACTTGGAGCAAAGAAAGGGAGCAGGGGGCTCTGGCCCTGTTGTCGTAAGAGGGGACAGGCAGTCCTAGCATACAGTGGATAGCTGGGGAACAGAGCTGAGATGCAAAGGAAACTGAGTCTTTATAACATCATTAAGCCAAGCCTGAAGGTCCTTCCATCTCAGAACTCTAGTTAAGTAAAGCCACAAACTCCCTCTCCCTTTAAGCCAGTTATTTAACAGCAGCATGGGGCACATTCAGAGTGACAACCCTGACGGCCAGGCTGCTTCTGAAGTCTCCTTCCTAGTCCATCCTGGCCCATGGCCCCCAGAGCTGTCTCATGGAGCATTTCCCTGCTCAGAAATCATGAGGTTCTGGGCAAGGTGGCATAATGCCAGCAGCTCAGGAGGCTGAGGCAAGAGGATTGTGAGTTCAAAGCCAGCCTCAGCAATTTAGCGAAGCCCTAAGCAACTCAGCAAGACTCTGTCTCTGAATAAAATATCAACAAGGGATAGGGATGTGGCTGGGTGATTAAGTGTCCCTGTGTTCAATCCCTAGTACAAAAAAAATAATAAGAAAGAAAACCATGAGGTCCTCCCACTGTCTGTGAATGACCGCACCCTCCCCCTGGTGTTAGAGTCTCCCCAGCAGTCAGTCCTGCCGCTCCCAGCTGTCCCCAGTACTCCATCTCAGTCACCAGGATAGCCACTTGACCTGTGTTCAGCAAAGGGCCCAGCAAGTAGGAAGCCCTCCAGCCAACCCTGTGCACAAAGCTTTGGGGGAAGCTGTGCAGAGGCAGAGGGCTGAGGCTGGGACCCATTGTCCTCCTCCAGGGTCTGGAAGGACCACTGCCTCCAAGATCTGTCTCCACCTCAGGTCCTCAGGCTCCTGCGCTTCATTGACACAGGCCACAGACAGGATTCCTCTAATCACACATGGCCTCTCTGCCTCCTTAGATAACCGCAGTGCCTGAGCTCCCAGATCCTGGGGCTGGTGCCCATTCGCAGCCTCTGATGATCAGTCCTTCAGCCCTGTCCTGTCCTGAGGACTCTGGAGCTAACTACACTTGTGGAACAAGGACTCGGAGCTGCCAAAGCACACACGGTGGAGGACAATCAACAAGAACAGCAAGGCCTATTACTGGCCATCTAAACAGCAGCCACTGGCCCCGCCTTCCTTAGAGTGGGAGCCCTGATTCTATTCAGGCAGCTGCCCCTACACTAAGTGCATCAGGGGACATGTCCCACCCCAGATCTAGGGACAGAGCCTGAGTCACCTATGGTGATCCCATTCCCCTGACAGTGGCTGTTTCAGGAACAGCCAGGACCATTTCTGGCCAATGAGATAGGAGACAGAAACTGCCTGGGAAGCCTCTGGGGGAAAGGCTCAGTCCTACGGAGCCACACTGGCTTCCTTAAGCCTGATGAGGTGCCTCAATGTGACCCAGCCAAGGCCACCAGGCTGCTGCTGATCATCTGCCATGTACCAGATCATTTATTTGCATCATCCCATTTCCCTCTCATTGCCTGAAGTTGGAGAATATAGGCCCACTTCACAGACAAGAAAAACAAAGCTCAGAGAGTGAGGCAACTTGCTTGTAGTCACAGAGCTGGAAGAGAGAGAACTGGAGGTTTGAATGCATTTCTGTGTCCTCCGTGACCCCAGTCACCATGCTGCAGGCCTAGCGTATCTGAGACTGGCTGCACGTGGTGGGCATGCAGTTCTTCAATGCTGGCTCTCTCCCTTGTCCCTCTTCTCCCTTTCCAACCCCCTGAACCAGCAGGGGACACACTCATACCCCTAGGAACACCCCTAAGGGAGGAAAGTTCCCCTAACCACGAGATGGGGAGTCAGTTCCAAGCAGTGTTTTGTTCTAGACACAAAAGCCCTTCTCCTCCTGGGGGAGACCCACAGTTCCATACAGGCCTCTCCTTGTTCTCCCTGGCCCCATGTCAGGGGCCCATATCCAGCAGGGCCCCAGGGAATCAGGAACATGGGCGGAGAAATGGGTGAAGCCCAAGGACCTGTCAGGGAGGAAAATCTGCCCAGGATGCCTCTTGGCCGGGCCTTTTCTTTGAGCCTGGCATTTGGTTGGTGGCGCAGGGCCGGGGGGGGGGTGCTTCCCTTAGGAGCCCAGAGATGGGGCATGGCTCTAGAACTTGAGAAGAAAAGCAGTGATGGGGACCCTAGCCAGGAGGGGTTTCATGGCCCTTGTGAATGGGCTCCCTGCCCCTGGGATCAGATGAGGACCCTCCAGGAGACCCTGCACCTGGGGAAGAGTCCTGGCTGGAGGAGCCCGGGGTTATCTGCTCTGCAGTGAGGGCTGGAGCTGCTCCTTCTGCCCAGCCCCCTCTTTCCAATAGCCAATTTCTGCCTGAGGGGAGGCTGAGTTGCCTTAAAAGGAAAGCTGTTTCTCAGTTCCTGGAGTGTGGAGTGCCACCGAGGGCCACTTGGCTCCTTTTCAATCGCCTTCCCTGTTCTGGGGGACAGCAGACCCGTGGGAGGGAGGGTATCATAAAGAAAATTCTCTAGGTCAGAGTTCCATGGTTAGAAAAATGGGAGCTGGGGTTAAAAAGATCAGATGCAACCCTTCCTAGCTCAGTGATCTGGGGTCAAGTTACTTTCTGCTCTGGGCTTAATTTGCTTGTCTCTAAAATGAAACACTGACAGCCAAACATGGTGTAATCCCAGCGGCTAGGGAGGCTGAGGCAGGAGGATCACAAGTTCAAAGCCAGTCTCAGCAAAATGTGATGCTAAGCAACTCGGTGAGACCTTGTCTCTAAATAAAACATTTTAAAAAGGGCTGGAGATGTGGCTCAGGGGTTAAGCACCCCTGGGTTTAATTCCTGGTACCAAAACGAGGTGGGGGTGCTGTGAGGGGGTGCTTGGGGGGACTGACTACCCCAAATCCTATTCTGAGGATTAAATGAGAAAGTATAAAAGTAAATGCACTGCTCCTGGCACCCCATAAGGGCTCACACCTTTGATTCCCGCTAACAGGATTGGCCCAAACAAGCCTTAACACCATCCTGCCAGGTGTGGGTCCAGATGAATACCTTCCTTCCCAGCTAGCCCCCATCTTAAAGGAAAAAAGCTTGGAAAGCAACATATAAATAGGGACCAGGAGTTTGACTTGTCTGTCAGCCCAGCTAATGAGTCTGCAACAAGCTATTGCCCTCCTGTGTGGTTCAATTCCTTGGGCAACCTGAGACCACAGCAGGGGCCTCTTGTGTATAGCCCTGGATCATCAAGGATCAGTACTATCTTCTGTGACCACACTATCCAGTGTTTTCCCTTCAGAGAGTTATATCCTCACTGGGAATTGCTGTCTGTGTTCTGGTTTGTACTACTTCACTGTGTTCATAATCTCAACAGAGAACAGAACTTTAATTTGCTGCTGAATAACTGGAAATAGCCAGTCAGCTGTTCGCCTGAAATGTCAGGATCCTCGGGGCTGGCTGAAGAACAGAACTCAAGAATTGACCTCTTCTTGTAAGCCACCAGCTCCAGCCTGCTGCCCTGTCTAGTTGTTCCAGTAAGAGCTGTACCCAGATCCTCGATCTTGAGAGGAGAAATCCAAGATGGCAGCTCATACAGCAGCAGAGCAGCGGGTAGACCAGGACGCAGACTCGGGTGCTTACCCCAGATCTCATGAAAGTCAGCAAAGGTCATATGTTCAGTGCGTCATGTTTCGAGTTTAAGAAATCATCTCAGGGAGGTAGAATCCTTGACTGCCAGCCACCAATGCCTGAAGGAGGTTCCTTCACATCAAACCCTTGACAAACCATCCCACATCTTTAATTCTCCTATGGAAAAATCCCTTCTTTCCCATTTCATAATTACTTGTTCCCTAAGGCCAAAGAGGGACTGACAGGCCCAGGGCTTAAGTCCCCACCCTCCTGGTCCAGTAGAGACCTGTCAAGTGTTTATCTAGTTAGAAAAGTGCTGCTCACATTAGGTAATCTGTTTGGTATCTGCCAGGTACGGAGGAGTGCTGCCATCCTTTCCAACCCCGCAGCTCAGCCTCTTCCTGCGTGCCCCCACATCCAGAGAACAGCCAAGGACAGAAAGGGAAGGAGGGGACCCACTGGTTCAGAGTTCATAGAGCCTGTATATTAGAAATGACACCTGCGAGCTTAGGAAGTAGACCTCACTGAAGGTAAGGGTCACTGGTTGGAGAGGGATGGCCAACAGGAGAAGGGGACTGGCTTGGCCATGATTATATGTCCCCCTACATGATTTCTTTGGAAGCAGGTCCACGATTCACCTCTCCAAGCTCACGGCTCCAAGCCCAGGCACCCCAGAACATGAGTGGAACCACTCAGCCCTCTCCCTCCTTCTGGGGCATGAGTTCTCTCTTTTCAAATCCATGCCCCATGGGCCTTGGGGGACTGTGAGCTGCCATAGGGTAATGCTATGTGTCTCCCCTTCCCCACGTGTCCCCTAAGGCCCTTTTATAGCAGAGTTCTCCACTTGGGGAGTTCAGAAATCTGAAGGTCATATTGAGGTAAAATAGGAGTCTCTGGCTTCTTTGAAGTATTTCAAAACCAGTCCAGGAAATGCTATAGCATGATAAGGCTTCGAAGACTCATTAACAGATGGAGCGTCTTGACTTTGTCTGGAATGATGTCAACGTAGAGTGGTAACAGTTGGTTATCCCAAGCGCTGAACAAAAAGGTCTGAATGATTTGGCTTGTACTCATTTTTGAAAAGGAAAAACAAATGAGCACTTAGGCCTCATAAACACAGGTTTCTCGCAGCTGACATTTCAGGCAGCTCCATCCCACTATGGACGCCCCTGTATAAAGAGTATCCCCCCCACACACACACATCCCAGGTTGACTTGGTTCCTCCAGCTGCAGACCTTCCATTTCTTCCTTCCTTGTCAACACAGGAGCCAGACGCTGCCTCTGGCCTCTGGGAAGCACTGGAAATACCAGAGTCTGGAAACACTAGCTGCCTCCGTATTTACACACTTTACCATACATGGGAATTAATGCTGGCGTCAGACAAATTCCTGGGGACCTACGTAGTCCCAGCCACGTCATTACCATATAAATTCCTGACAAGTGGCAACTGCAGGCAAAGCTCCTGTCAGAACTCAGGACCCTCCCCTCCCCTTCCCTGGGGCAGCCTGCTTGCAGGGTTCTCTCTCCCTCACTCCCTCCCTCCCTCCCTCAAGCTGGCTCTTAGCCAGGCTTCTTTTATTTCCTGCAGTCCTGGTCCCAAAACACAAACATGCATCAGAGCTGGTGAAAGCATATCTGGCAACTCAAGTGCAGGGCTCCCCCTACCCCCACCCCAGCCATGCAGCGGAGTGAAAATCTAGAGGTCAGGAGCTCTGACCCTGACCCCATCCACGTTATAAGCGGCAAAAGTCCTATCTGCCTTTATATTGTTTATAAGTCTTAAGTGTCTTGTAAAGTTAATGTGTTTCACAAATGGCAGCTATTTCCCTGGTGAGTTAATCTGGAAAGAGAAGTGTCGGCCTGATGACAACTCTTCGGGGGACCAGCTGCAATTCTGAACAAGTTCCTTTTCATCTCTCAGCCTCAGTTTCTCCATTTGTAAAATGGCAAGCGTCAGCACCTACCTGATAAATTGTCCAAGATAATACTTAATACGATACTTAACACAGGGCTGGTACACAGCAAGTATAGAGCTCTGCTTACTGTTATCTTAAGAAAAGGCCAATTCTAACACTCATTGCTTTGAGCCTCTAGGTATTTGCCATATGCCTGCATAATGGCAAACAGCTGGTTTGCTTGGAGAAAAAGTCTTTTTCTTATTTGTACCTCTTTGGATCTCAAAATGTTCAATACGTGCCTCTTCCCAGGCCTCTAGCAGGCCAGCTTCTCACAGTGAGCCGAGCTGGGTTTACATCAATACTTAAAACTTTAGTAGTCCACCAGAAAGCCTGCCTAATTTGCTTTCCTCTCCAGGAGATCCAGAGTGCTTCTTTTCCCACACCTGCTTGTCAACACTACCTGCAGGGAAAAACTGGTTGGTAACTATCAAGGTTTATGAATTCTAGTAGGACAACTCCCCTGAAAGCCCATTCCTACCCACATTCATGTTTACTGATCACATACCAAGTGTCAACATAACCCCCACCGCCATCCCACCATCCAGGCCCTGGGAGGACTGGCTGGCTCCAGAGGCAGATGTGCAATTAGAAAACACCTGGGCCCAAAGGCAGGTGCTAGGAGAGAGCAGAGGCAAAGAGGCTGGGGCACCCCTGTCTTTTGCACTTTGTTAGCAGGTCAGTGGCTGAGCTGTTGAGCCTACATCCTCCCTGACCCCCAACACCAAGCATGGGAGACCTTGGTTCAGTTCTCCCCTCCCCCTTCTCTGGGCCACACCACACCCTCTGCAGGATAAACTTCCTTCCCCTCTGATTGTTCCCGCCCCGGATATCCACAGCAAGGCAAAGGGTCCTTCACTGGGAGATTGAGCAGCAAGTCTGGGTTGGCAGTAATGTAATACAGGGTAAGAGCAGCTGCAGACTCCGGTCGTCTCTCAGAAGGCATGGCCCTGGCTTCTTGAGCTGGAGACTGGCTGCAGAATCAGAAGGCATCAGCTAGCAAGAGCCTAGAAGCTCAGCACCCAGTCTCCAAATCATGCCTGGGTCGAATCCCCAATCTGACTCTGAGATGACAGAGAGGCAGCTCACAGCTCCAGCCAACTTTGTTTCTGAGAGGAAGGGGGTGTGGGTGGGGAGAGGGCAGCACACAAATGCTGCTCTGTTGGAGGTCCTGAAAGAAACTGAGGCATCAAGACGTTGTCCCTTGTCCAAAGTCACTTTTGTAGTAAGTGGCAGATCCAGGAGTCAAAACTCAGTCTGTCTGCTTTCCAATTGCTGATCAAGATTCCTGGCTACTTCTTCATGGTAAACTTTCTACCAGAGCCAGGTGGACTTCCTCCATGCCACCGTGACAATATCCCAAGGCAGTGACCTCTCACTATGGGGAAGGCCTGCCTATTCATTCTCCCCCAGGAGAAGCAGTGAGTGGCAGGAGCCCAGGGCCTCACTGTTGCTCCCAGCTAGACACAGACTGGACTGCCTTACAAGAGCACACGGACCAGAAACTTGCAGAATATGCTCAGGTCTGTGCCTCTAGATAAAGATACCTGCCTTTGTGGTCTGCGTCTTGGGTAACATATTGCAATTTGTTTAAGTGTGCTTAGTATCAGCCCCTTTCTCACAAACGAGTTTTCAAGGTCTGAGACCACAAAACACTTAGGGTAGGCTTTCAGGCTTCAGTACTCCCTTCCGCAGAGCACTAACCACGACTTGGGGCGGTGCGGGGTAGGGGGTGCTGTTTCAGAAAAAGGAAAACACCTGCGTTCAGGGGCACAGATGTCCAAGACCAGGCCCATGAAGCCAGATGTCTTCCCCATCCCACCCGCCAGCACTTTGTCCCAGAGGAGGAGGCGGTGGGAGGGGGTGGCACGGATGCCCTCATCTCTCTGCTATACAATGAGCGTCAGTGACCCGCAGAATTGCCAATTGTTCTGCCCGACCTGCAGGCGGCGGGGGGAGCCGGGTCGCCCTAGGTCAGGGGCATGGGAAAGCCAACTGTGTCCAGGAAGCCCCGGATTGAGTGGAGCCCCAGTGTCTCCAGGAAAAAAGAAAAACAGCCCTAGCTAACTGCGGTCACTTCTCACAACTCGCCCGCTAGGGTCCCCGCTCGCGTCACTTTTCCTCCAAAGTTTCCTTGCAGCCGCCAGGGCCGCCGCGGGCAGGAAAGATCAGGGTGCGTCCCAGGAGCCCCTGCGGGGGGTGGCTGCAGGGGACAGAGGCGGGCGACGATCGGGAGGGTGGCTGGGCGCACTCACCTGGCAGCGGTCGGCGGCGGGCGCGGGCGGCAGGCACTGTCGGAAGCGACGGCTGGGTGCGCCCAGTCTGCGCGCCGTTTTGTTCCGCTCGGGGAAGGCGTGTCCCTCGCCACGCCAACCAGTAGGCTTTGCACACAGCACCACAGCAGGGCTGATGTCACGGAGCGAAGCCCCGAGGCTCTGCCCCCACAAGACACCAGCAGCCCCGCCGGCTGGCGGGAGCCGGGGCAGAGACGCCGACTCCAGGCGCGCCTGCCGCCCGCGCTGCGATCCCACTGGGCGCCCAGTGGCCGCCGCAGTCGCGGGAGAAAAGTCTTGCATGTGGGAGGGACTTCTCAGGGTTTCCCTATCAGCAACACAGGAAGGCGGGGGTGTAACCAGAGAGATCAGACCCGAGATAAACTGGGGACCTGGGGAAGAGTGGGGGTGCTCAAATTTGCGTGTCCCTGTGGCAGACTGTAAGACACAGGGCACATCTGGTCCTTACCCTTCAACCCACTAGCTGAGCCGTGGCCTCGGCAGTCCGTTGGCTTCAGGTTCATCTGTGCATGGGGTATAAGCCCTAGGGATGTTGGGGGGAGGAGGATTAAATGAGACCGTGTAGGACCAGTCAACCTTCAGGAACACGTCTCTTGTCCCCTCAGCTTACCCAACCATCCCAAAGGAGATTGCCCTGCCACCTCCAAAAGCAATTGGAGGCCTGGGGCGGTGATTCAGTGGCAGAGCGCTTGCCTCAGCACCACATAAAAATAAATAAACAAAATAAAGATATTGTGTCCATCTATAAATTTTAAAAATTTTTTTAAAAAGCAGTTGGAAAGTCAGGGAACTGGGTAAGGAGAGGGGGGGTGGGGGTGGCATGGGAACTGCCCCAGAGGAAGCTCTTGGTAGCCTGGGCCTGTATGTGTCATCCTGAAGGTTAAAGGCCTGAAGAAAAATCTCACTTTTCAGAACTGTTTCAGGGGGTTTTCATGTCAGGTTGTCAGGCAAGGTTTTATCTGGCCCAGTGGCAGCTTTACAGGTGCATTGGAACTTTTCTGACCCCAAAATGCCCCAGGTCCTGCAGATCTTCTACCCTGGGCAAGCCCTCAGGCTTCATTTATAACCTTGGGTTGCTGAATTTACTTTCTTTCAAGAATATAGTTAAGAATGTTGTGATCCAGAAAATGAAATCTTTTTCTTGTCTGCTCCCATAAGAAACATCTTTCCTCCATCAAGGCCCATCATATGTAATGAAGACCCTCCAAGACTGAGATAAGAAACCAGTCAGTGTGTCTTGCAGAAATTTGCCATCCTCATCTGACTCCACCAAATTGTAGAAGAAGAAACCTGGAGAATCCTGGTCTTTCTTGCCCTGAGCAAGTATCAGATAAAGAGGTACATTAAATTGCAGAACTGCGATCAGTGTTAGAGACCATGGGGTTCCTGCACAACTATGCGGATCTCTGGAGGGTTTCCTCTGTCTCTTCAGTATTCAATACCCTGTAGAGATGAGCCTTGGTGTTCTGCCCAAGACTTTACAAAATGAGCAAATGCCTGTATTTCCTTCTTTGGTCTGGACTTTTCTCCTCTGGAGTTGTGGATCAGTTGATAGATTTCACTGGGGATATGTCAACCTGTTCTGTGGAATGCTCTTAGAGATGGTTGAGGAAAAGGAAAGTGGGAAAGGTAGTCACACTTGGATTTCTTCCAGAGGATCTTAAAGCACCATGTAAATAAAGTGGCCAAACAATGTGTCATCCAAACTAGAGTGGTTTTGATAGTGACTAATATGGTGACAGTATTCCCAACTTCACTAAGGTAGCATGGCTGTCTGAGACAATCCAGTATGTATGTAAGTGTTTTTGTCACCCTGCTTGTGACTTAGTGAGTGCATGTGTCTTAGGTGCTAGCGAGGCAGCATTGGAGATAAAGGAAGCCAAGCAGGTTCTGCCCTCTCTGCTGGTTTTCCAGTACCTCACACCACTGGCTTCCCTGTATGCTGCCAAGCATGTGAGCTTGGTCTTAGCCCATTTGTGATTAAAAACACTTTGGGGCCAGGCATGATGGCACATGCCTATAATCCCAGTGGCTCAGGAGGCTGAGACAGGAGTTCAAAGCCAGCCCCAGCAACTTAGCAAGGCCCTAAGCAACTCAGTGAGATCCCTGTCTTTAAACAAAATACAAAAAAAAGGGCTGGGGATATGGCTCAGTGTTTGAGTGCCCCTGGGTTTAATCCCTAGTACAAAAAAAAAAAACACTTTTGTGATCTAGTTGAGATGAAGATGATATTGGGGTTATCCACCAGGCCAACAGGCATGAGCCTGATGTTGAAACCACAGGCCAGTAATGGGACACTATGATGCCTAAATTTTCTCAGAGCAGGGAAAGTCATTCTGGCTGACCTCAGTTACATAACTGTGCCCAGAATGCCTCTACCCAACCAGCAGCACCCACATCTGCAGAGACAATGCAGTCAGAGCTCATTTCTATAGGGGGTTCTAAGATGGAATATGGCATATCACAAGGGCTTGGTTGCTCCTCAGGACTCTTAAAAATGTCTAATCTTTACAGTATCTTCTGCTCTTCTCCATGAGCTCTACTATCTAATCCACCTGGGTTGATACTTTAAGAGCTCCTGGGGATGAAGTCAGGCATGTCAGGTAGGCAGGCCCTTCCCTTCCCTGGAGTCCTCTATGCTACTTCCTCCCCCATCACCATCCTGATGTCACATCTTCTCTCTCCCTTCCTGCTGCAAAGTCTTCCTTTTCCCCACTGAACACAAATGAAAGAGACTTGAGTGTAAGGGTGAAGGAAAATGGGGACATGTGGCTGATTTATCTCTGCACATCAGCCTAAAGAGCTCAGAGGTCCAGACTGGGCCGGAGATTTCTTGCATGTCCATCCATCCATCTATCCATCCACCTGTTCATTTACTCATCTGTCTATCCATACAGCCAGCAACCTATCTCTCTGTCTTTCCATCCATCCCTCCATCCCTCCATCCTTCCATTCATTCAGAAGATATTTACTAAGGTCCCACTCTGTGCTGGTTAAGTACCACCAGTGCTAAGAATATAAAGAAGAATATAACTTAGATCTGAACATCAAGGAGTTTAAAACCTAATGGATAAACCACTAGTATGGCTCCAAAGTCTTTCAGGGGCACAAGAGAAGGGACATAGGGGACAGTGAGTGGACAAAGGATGAACACTTTTTTTTCCCCCTGGAGGAAAAAGAGGTGATTCAGAATTGGATAGGAGACAAAGAGAAGGGGCAAGATCTTGGAACAGAATTGGTCAACTAAGGAATTGAAGTTCATCAGCACATCTGACACCTAGGATGAAAAGACAAGAGTTTCAGATGGCGGGGGCTGGGGATATAGCTTAGTTGGTAGAGTGCTAGCCTTTCATGCACAAGGCCCTGGGTTCAATCCCCAGCACCACACACACACACACACACACACACACACAAAAAAAAAAAGGGCACAGGGGTGTATGCCTGTAATCCCAGCAATTTAGGAGACTGAGGCAGGAGAATTGCAAGTTCAAAGCCAACCTCAGCAATTTAGCAAGGCCCTAAGCAACTTAGTAATACCCTGTCTCAAGATAAAAAGGGCTGGAGATATGGCTCAGGAAAAAAAAAATCTCAAGGGACACTGATATTTGAGGGTGGCACTCATTTTGTGCAGTGCCAGGGGAGACCTAGGAAGTGTGGAGATGCCTGGGAAGAAAATGAACGGAGGAGTCAAGAAGGGTAAGTGGTAGGTTGAGGCTTCTAGTGCTCTTACTACAGGGGTATTTGTCCCTTTATTACCAAGCCATTTAGTAGTCCCTCCCCTTCTATACATCCTGGAAAATGTGTGAGTTGTCCCCTCAGTTTCTTCTTGGGAGGCTTTAGGATTCTTGAGAGCTAAAAAAATGAATTTTGGAAACCTGATGGCTTCGGGAGCGAAGGCCTCACTGCACAGATTAGAATATTTTCCTTAAACACTCATTGCCTTCCATGTTTCCCAGGGGGCATTCAGACCCATTTCACAGCTAACGTGGATCCAAAAAAAAGTAAGAGCCCTGAGATCGGCAGGAACCAGTACACTTTCAAAGGTCCAGTGTTAAATTTGCAGTTTGCATCTCAGCTTTATCGTCACTCATTAAAAATACTATTAAGAATAGAATAGACAATATGATTGATGTATATACATTCCATGTATGTATTATATATCAAAATACATTCTACTGTCATGTATGACTAAAAAAAATAAATAATTTTAAAAAATACTATTAAGAATAATAAGCCTATAATCCCAGCCACTAGGGAGTCTGAGGCAGGAGGCTCATGCCTATAATCCCAGCCACTAGGGAGACTGAGACAGGAGGATCACAAGTACTAAAGTCAGCCTCAGCAACTTAGTGAAGCCCTAAGCAACTCAGTGAAACCCTGTCTCTAAATAAAACATAAAAAAGGGCTGGGGATGTGGCTCAGAGTTAAGCATCCCAGAGTTCAATCCTGGGTACTCAATAATAATAATATTGATAATAATGAAAAATTATTGAGCACTTACACAATCATCTCCTTTAATCTTCATAGTCATTGAGTGATTTAAGGACTATTTTTGCATGTGAGAAAACCAAGGGATTGAGCAGTAAGTAACTAACTTAGTGGCTGTGTAACCATGATCTAGACATCAGTTCTCCTCTGGCATGAAATTAGAGCTCAGACCACCTCAATATTCTTAGACACTAGTACCGAATCTTAATAAAAAGATGATGTTTAAAATTTCTTATTGCTACTTATGCATGGTGGCACATGCCTATAATGCCATCAACTTGGAAGGCTGAGGCAGGAGGATCACAGGTTTGAAGCCAGCCTCGTAATGTAGTGAGACCCTAAGCAATGCAATGAGACACTGTCTCAAAAAATAAAAAATAAAAAGAGTTGTGGATATGGCTCAGTGGTAAAGCACCCCTGTGTTAAATCCCCAGTACCAAAAGAAAGAAGGAAAGAAAGAAACAAGCAAAAGAAAAAAATACTTATTGACGATATGTAGAAATTTTTGGAAAATGTATAAGCTTATTATGTAGCATCCCTGGCCATGTGGGTGGTATGTAAGGTGACAAGGCAAGTCAAAGGGAGCTGTAGAATGGGGCCCAGCATTCTTGATCTGCATTCTCTCAGTCTCTGCATTCAGCATTCCTAAAATCTCTCAGGGTTTACTGGAGAAATGAGCTCAGT